CTTCTGTGGTGTTCTTACCCCAAAAAGGCATATCTGGAATCTACTCACAAGGAAACATCAAACCCAAATTGAGGGACTGTGTGTGTGTATGCTCGGGTACACACAGGCACAGTGGCACAATCTCAGCTCACTGCAACCTCTGCCTCCTGGATTCAAGCAGTTCTCTGCCCCAGCCTCCCAAGTAGCTGGGACTACAGGTGTGCGCCACCATACCCAGATAATTTTTGTATTTTTAGTAGAGATGGGGTTTTGTATGTGTTGGCCAGGCTGGTTTTGAGCTCCTGATCTCATGATATGCCTGCCTCCGGCTCCCAAAGTGCTGGGATCATAGGTGTGAGCCACCATGCTTGGCCTTTTTTTTTTTTCTTCTTTTTTCTTTTTTGAGAAGTGGTTTCACTATGTTGCCCAGGCTAGAGCACAATGGTGTAGTCTTGGCCTACTCCAGCCTTTGCTCCGGGTTCAAGTGATTCTCCTGCGTCAGCCTCCTGAGTAGCTGGGATTACAGGCATGAGTCACCATTCCTGGCTAATTTTGTATTTTTAGTAGAGACTGGGTTTCACCATGTTGATCAGACTGTTCTCGAACTCCTGTCTCAGGTGATCTGCCTACCTCAGCCTCTCAAAGTGCTGGCATTGCAGGTGTGAGCCACCACACCTGGCCCAGATTTACCATTTCAGCAGTTTGTTGTTGTTGTTGTTGTTGTGTTTTGAGACGTACTCTCGCTCTGTCACCAGGCTGGAGTGCAGTGGCATGATCTCGGCTCACCACAACCTTTGCTTCCTGGGTTCAAGTGATTCTCCTGGCTCAGCCTCCCAAGTAGCTGGGACTACAAGCGCGCGCCACCACGTCCAGCTAATTTTTGTATTTTAAGTAAAGACAGGGTTTTACCATGTTGGCCAGGATGGTCTCCATCTCTTGACCTTATGGTCCACCCACCTTGGCCTCCCAAATTGATAGGATTACAGGCGTACGCCACCACGCCCAGCCTCAGCAGTTTTTAAATATGCAGTTCAGTTGCATTAAGTGCGTTCTTAGTCTTGTGTAACCATCACCACCGTCCATCTCCAGAACATTTTTCATTATCCCAAACTGAAACTTAGTATTCATTAAATAGTAACTCACCATTCTCTCCTCTCCCCATCTCTGACAACAACCATTCTACCTTCTGTCTCTATGAATTTGACTACTCTTAAGTACATCATTTAAGTGGAATCATATGGTATTTACCCTTTTGTTACTGCTCTTAATATTTTTAAAAGCTAGGCCGGGTACGGTGGCTCAAGCCTGTAATCCCAGCACTTTGGGAGGCCGAGGCGGGTGGATCACGAGGTCAAGAGATCGAGACCATCCTGGTCAACGTGGTGAAACCCCGTCTCTACTAAAAATACAAAAAATTAGCTGGGCATGGTGGCGCGTGCCTGTAAT